TGGCCTGGGAGGCTGAGTGGGCCCTCGTTGGAGGTGACTGCTTCAGGATCCTTCTCACTGGTGGTCACTCCTCCAGGATCCTCATCAGAGGCCATCTAAAAGCAAGTCATAAGCAGGAGATGTCGCTCTCCCATCTGGAAGGGGCTGAAAAGTTGGATTCGCTGCCAGGGCGTGACCCAGAGGATGTTCACAGTGACCATCCCCCATGACAACTGAACACTGCTCTAACTCCTGCCATTACAACCTGATGCCCTGGTTGTTTTACTGTACCCTGAGTGACACCCAGCCCAGGACAAGCCCACTGGGAATCAGTGTAACTCACGTGATGCAGAGGCGGACTGCAGTCAACATCCTCGGGATCTGCAAGGAGAAGGGATGTCCCGTGAGAACCTGGACCAGCCCCATTCCACCTGCTCTTCCTCCAGCATCTCACAGGGACTGGGAAGCCCCAGGTCTTGGCTGCATCTCTGGGTATCCTCTACCCCACTAAAATCCTGAAGGACTTCCTAAATGTTTCCTAGAAAGACAGGCTCAGGGGAGCGATGGGCACCAGGAAGAGCCTGCCTGGATGACTCCAAAGGATGCTGAGCATCCCTGTGGTGGTCAGATCCACATCCCTGCTTGCCACAAGCTGGAAGCAAGTATTCAGGATTGCCAAAAATGCTTGGGGATGGGCAAGGTGGGAAACTGCATGTGTTACACTGTGCTGCGGATCACACCACTCACACTCCACAAGGAAGAAGAAGCAGATGATGCCCACGGTGGTGATGATGATGCCAGGCACGACAAAGGACAGGCCCCAAGCAGAGGAAACCCAGGCACCGGCAATGAGCGACCCTAAGATGTTGCCGACGGAGGTGTGTGAGTTCCAGATGCCCATGATCAAACCTCTCCTGGCAGGGACACAGCCGGGGTCAGTGTCACTGAGGTGGCTGCTGGGGCCAACAGGGATCAGGGCTGGGGTGGGACACGTTAGAAAAAACTCACTTTCCCTTCCCAAACCAGTTCCCGACGCACGCCACGACAGCAGGCCAGCCGGTCGTCTGCACCAGCCCATTGCAGACCTGGCGAGAGATGGGGAGCATCACCCAGGAAGCACCAACTCCAGCCACAGAGAGCAGCCCCTGCACTGCTTCGTGGGCACCTGGGCTCAGAAATAGCCACTCCCATCCCAAAGCTGTTAAGAAAACACTTGGTTTGTTTGGGTTTTTTCCCTGCTGGGGCAATCCTGGAGCCATTCCCATCATTCCCATGGCTAATCTGGGAGTGGCTGGTGTTGCCAAACCGGCTGCCCGCACTGCTCAGAGATGGGCACACCCAGCGGTTTCGACGCCCACACCAGAACCAGGGTTTGCGGGGAGTGGAAATGCTCGGCGTTTCCCCACTCAGAAACTGGGCCACCTCGGTCCCTGAAGGTCACTGAAAAACTGGGATGAGGCCATAGAGGTAAAGCCCGGGCTCCCTCCAGTATGACACACCTGCACAACGATGAAGTACCAGAGGACATGGATGTCCCAGAAGTAGCCGAGGCCGAAGAGCGCTGTGAAGAGCCCGCTCAGCACCATCCCCCCTGACAGGTAGTAGCGCAGGGGGAGGCGCTCCCCAAAAATGCCGCTGCAGAGAGAGGGAAGAGCACAACAGGAGCTGTCATGGGTGATGCCACCAATGAGTGTTATCCCACCGAGCCGGTGCCCAAACCCTGAGAGCATCCCCAGCTGCTTTCCCATTAGCATAACCACATCCCGAGGGAAACCAGGATCCTGGCACGCTGGTGCAAACTGGTGTGTGGAGGGAAAGGGGTGCAAAGGCCTTGGGTACCTGATAAACATCCCGATGGCGTAGGCCACCAGGAAGGCATTATCCAGGGCCCCAAAAAGCTCCTTGTAGTTGTTCCCATCTGCAAAGACAAATATTAGGGCCACTTCAGCCTGGCCCCCTCTTATGTCCCCTCCCCATGGCTGCTGGCTCGGTCTTATCCTCTGTCCCCAAAAGTCTTGTCCCCATGGGGGTTTCTGGGAGTCTGGCTGGGTGCCATCAGTGTAGGGAACTGGTCCTGTCTTGTCCCGGATTCCACCAGGCACTGCTGCCCTTCGGTCCGGGGGCACGGGGCAGAGCTTGCTGCTTAATTACCTCCGGGTGGCTTATGAGCAGCAGGCCCCCTGCCAAACCCCGGCCACGACCCAACTTTAGGGCATGGGGGGAGCCCAGCTCAGCTGCCACGAACGGAGTTTTGGGGTGCCTGGGGTGGCTCAGCCTTACCAAAGGGTGCCCAGCTGCACCACGTGCTGCTGTTGGAGTCATTGCGGGGGTTTGGGCCCAAGGCCGAGCAGTTGGGGTGCAGTTGGCTCTGCAGAGAGAGAGAGGGGGTGAAACTGGGGTGCTGCCAGCACCCCCCAGCCCCGTGTCGCCTCTCCAGGTCCTCTGTCCCCACAGGTGGGGTGAGGCTGACGCTCACCTTGACAATGCTGATGGGTTTTCGGGAGAGGTGGTAGCTGGTGTAGCAGAGGAAGGTCAGCACCAGTGTCAGTCCCCGATAGCTACAGGAGGAAGCGAGCGGAGAGCTCAGGGTTGGTGGGACAGGGATGGGGACAGGGGTGGGCGGCCTCAGCACCCAGTGGGACTCTTCTGACCTGAACCTGCTCAGCCAAGTCAGTTGGGAGGTGAACAGTCCCCCCAAAATAGCCCAGGATGGGGCTTGAAAACATCAGCTGAGTTTTGTGGGGAGCACCAAGCAGTGCTTCCCCCTCCTCGAGCAGCTGTCCCGGTGAGCCACAGGGTGAGCAAGTGCCTTCCTGGTGTCACGGGTGGAAACTGGGCTGATTCATCATCACTGACAGGGTTAATTAAAGACAAGCTGGAAAAAAAAGCCAGGGGGCAGGATGTCCTAAGTAATACTAGCTCCCCTTTCTCCACCAAACAGACACTTCATACTTTTTACTTGGATTAAATGGAGGAAAAGGGGGGGAAAAGGGGGTCTGGGCTCAGGGATGGTGACGCTGCTCCCAGCAGAACTTATGGATAAATATGATCCAGCACTCTCTGAAGTAGGATGAGTATCTCTGAGGGGACTATCCAGCCTTCAGGGAGGGTTTTATGGCAGCACAGAGAATGCAAGTGGTCAGGGGCAGCTGCAGCACCCAGTCGTGTCACGGGGTTGCTCTAAATTTAGAAAAAAAACCCTTTTTTTTCGGTTTTGGCCCATCCTGCTCCTCATCAGAGTTTCACTTCTCCCTGGAGCTGCAGCAGTGACCAGCACTCTGCAAATCCAGGGCAGCTCCCTGCACCAGGGTGCTGGCTCTAAGGCTGCACTGCAGCTGCAAAACTGCTGCTTCCCACCCCAAAAAATGAATAAACCACTCAAAACCACTGAAGGTCAGAATCAAATGATCTGACGAGAGCAGAGAGGCCACGGTGAGGAAAAGGAGGAGAAACTTCACATGCAGTGCCTGGCTGGGCCAGATACTTGGGTGTTGTTTGTTTTCTTTTTACCCCATGTGTTCTGGCAGGGAACATTCCAGCTGATGGAAAAACAGGGGGAGTGTTTGGCAATGGGCTTCCAAAAAATCAAAATGCTAATTGAAATTAAATGGGCAGTGGGCTCATCCCCTCTCCAAAAGGGAGGGCAGCTGGCAAGGCTGTGTTGTGTGTTGGCCACATCCTGTGGAATTTTGAGGGTGAGGGCCTGGAACAGCTGGAGGCTGGTGGGCACTGCTGCCCATCTCAGGGTCCCCCCCCACCCCTCCTGGGCCATGTGCACCCCTGGGCAGCAGCCGGTGTGGGCTGATCCTGCCTCACAGTGATGCCTGAGGGGCAGTGCTGGGTCCTCCCACCACCCCTGGGTGACTCCCCATCCAGGGCAGGTCCCCATCCCAGGGCTCATCCTCATCCTGGTGCTGGTCCCCACAAGCAGCAACCCACCAACCCAGGTCTGGCCCCTCTCTTCTTGTCCCCAGGCAAGTGACCCCCTGGTATAGGGTCAGTCCCCATCCCACTCCTGGTCCCTATGTCCAGGATCTGTCTCTATCCCAGTTCCACTTCCCAGTGGTTGTTGGTCACCAGTGGAGTGCAAACTCCCCCACCCTCCAACCCAGGGTCGGTCCCTGTCCTGGTGTCGGTTCCTCTCTCCAGGGCCAGTCTCCATTCTGGTGCCGGTCCACGAGAGAGTGAGTCCCGTTCCAGGGCCTGTCCCCATCCTGGTGTCAATCCCAATCCCGATGCCAGTCCCTATCCCAGTGACAGTCCCGATACCGGGGCTGGTCCCTATGTCCGTGGTTAATCCCTCTCCCGGTGCCGATCCCCAGGTCGGTGCCGGTCCCTATCCCAGTGCCGGTCCCTGCGTCCAGAGCTGGTCCCGATCCCGGTGCCGGTCCCTTTCCCGGTGCCGCCCCCCCATCCCGCTCCCCGCTCCCACTCACCGGCTGTCCCGCGGGAGGGCGCGGAGCAGGCGGACCCCGGGGGCGAGCGCTGCCCTCATGGCGGGCGGCGGCGGCGCTCGGGCCCCCCCGGCTCCTTTTCACCGCCCCCGGGGCCGCCGCTCCCGCCCCGCCGGCCCCGGTCCCGCCCCGGCCCTGCCCCGGCTCCCCCGGCCCCGAGGGGTGAACCGGGCTATCCCCGCTCCCCTTGGAACAAAACCCCCCTTCAAATGCGGCTGGAATGAGGCAACAGCCGCGCTGGGCACCTGGAGGGGAGAGAAGCCCCGATGGGACCCAGCAGCCGCCGGTTCATGCCCGTCCCGGGGCTCTGGGAGCTTCCCCAGATGCATTTTTTTTCCAGCGCAAAAAAGCTGGGTTTAACTTTTCCGCTCTCTTTCCCAGCACCCCCGAACGGGCTTCCCTGCCCTCATGGCGGCTGAGCTATCCCTGACACGCTTTGGGGTTATTTCCAGGCATTTTGGGACTCCTGCTCTCCTCTGCCCGGGGTTTCACACCAGGAATAAAACCGCTTCCAAAGTATCCCATTTATCCTGCCAGGACAGAGCCAAGCAAAGGGCAGACAGTGGATGAGGAGCAGGAATAACTTTATTTAACCATCGTTCCTTTAATTAAGCCACAAATCAGCCCAATGCCCCTTGAGGATCCTTCCAGAGAGGGAGGAACAGGGGTCCCGAGGACCTGAGCAAGACCTTGGGGACCAGCCAAGGAACCTCTTGTCCTCAGCTGCCCCAGAACTGAAGTCAGTTACAAAAAACCCATTTGCAGCTCTAGCCTTTTGCTTCCCTTGGCCCTCCAGGGGCAGATCCTGCCCTTTCCAAACCCACTCCAACACCCCGCATTAGAGCTGCAGCACCTTCCCCTGACGCAAGCGGCAGTTAATAAACAGCATCGGCCGCCACGGACCCCTCGGTGAATGATTCTCCAGGGGGAACTGAGGAGCATCCCCTGGCTCTGCACCTCCACGCTACCTCCGGCCTAGGGTCGTGGGTTTGCTTCACGCCCCACGGGGTGGGAACAGGGAAGAGAAATGATCCGGCACGCTCGGCCGCCCATCCTTCCTGGCTGCAGTTAATATTGGAGAGGGCGGCCAGCGAGGAGTAAATATTAATGACAGGGTATGGAGCAACCTCCGCCTAGGAACGTGTTACCCCACCACAGGCAGTTTTGGGAAAACCCACACTGCTCTTGTCACCCCTGCAAAGGACTGCAGGGTTGTTTTTTTAACTAGGAAAATGCTCCTTTCCGGAGCAAAATAGAGGCTGTGGGAGCGTGGGTCCGGTGCGACGCTGGGGGGGAAACCTTGCATGGAAAAGAAGGAAGGAACAATAAATACCTGGTTCTAGAGGGTGATCCAACTAGCAAAGGTTGGCAGGAGCCCTAGGGAAAGGGAGAGGAAAGGAACCCTCCCCTAAGAGATACTGACCCTTGGCACCTCGTTTCTCCTTCTTTCACACTCCAAGAGAGACAAACAATCCTTGAAAACAGTTTATTCTGCAGCTGAATGCTGGAATTCAAGTGCCTGCTCATAAACCTGCCACAGAGTGATCCCCTGGAGCAGAGTGGGAGAGGCCAGCTCAAACTGGGCACACAAAGCAGGAGAGCAAAGGTGACACCATCCTGGCAGCTGACATGGAGGGACAGGCAGGACAGGGCCCAGCCCTGCTCCCTGCTCACACCAGTCTCGGGGATATGGGGAGGGGGACACGAGGCTGCCCCAGTCACAGACGCTTCCCTGAGCGGGCGCAGAGAGCAGCCAGTTCTTGGAGCGGCTGCGTGGCCGTGTGGGCACAGGAGGAGATCACGGAGTGCAGTGCCTGGCTGTAGGCTGAGCAGGAAAGGGACATGGAAACCGTGTCAGGGGATGAAAGCTGCACTTATGGCCCGAAACTGGGCTCGGCTCCAGCCTTTCACAGAGCAGAGAGGGAACAACTGGGGTTTAAGGTAAATCTATATGGCTGTAGTTTTCCACACGCCTGCCTGCACGCTCTGCACGCTCCTGAGTACAAAGCGGTATGCAAGCCAAAGATTATTTTATGAAGCCCCAATTTCTGTATTTTCTCTCCCAGGTGACTCCCAGTTGCGCAGCCAGGTACTTGCCCAAGCTGTGCTCCAGGTCAGAGCACTCAATCACTTAACGAAGACCCTTTCCATGCCTTCAAGCATCCTCCCAGTAGAAGATTCAGTATCTAAGGCACATGGTTCTGTGTCCCTAACAAGATGATTTGCAGTATTTTCCTGCTGGTTGTGTCCCTGTGCACATGTGGCTGTGTCACAGCTGCATTACTTAACACATTGCAGGGGCTTGTGCTTTGTTCAGGATGCCACTACAATCTCTGAGGGACAGAGCCAAACTTGTCCTCTCTGGAGTATATTTGGAAGAGCATCTCCGCATAGTGACCCAGAAGCAAGAAAACACCTACCCTGGTTTGATTTCTCCCTGTAAAATCAGGGATCTAGGCCCAGATGCCCCCTCTCTGGAAGCAGGATCTCCTACCTTTGCGGTTTTTGTAGAAGACGCAGTTGTTGGCGCAGGTATCCGGGTGGGAATCCCAGAACTCGGACCCACAGGAACACAGCGGGGGCAGGTCGATGTTGCAGGCTTTGATCTTCTCCCTCATCTGGGCTCTCAGAGCTTCAACGTACCTGTGAGGGAGCAAACATTCACTCCTGCCAGCGACACGCGGCTCTGCGCGGGCAGCGGGCACCTGCCCTACCTCGCCTGTTCCTTATCCCGCTGCTGCCTGTCCTTCACCCTCCTCTCCTCCAGCTGCAGCTGGGCCAGGGCTTCCCAGGCTCCCTCTCCAAGGGAGGGTTTTCGCTGCTCGGCCAAGTCCCGCATCCTCTGCTCCTCCACCCGGCGCTGATTCTCCTTCTGCCTCTTCATCCTGCAGGAACACACACGATTAGGGAAGGAGTTTCCCTATCACAACCCCTCAATCCCAGCCAGTCCCTGTCTGTGAGGTCAGGGCACAGGGATCTGGGCGATACCGCTGCTTTTGCAGGCAAAAGTAACTCTGCACTAATCACAGCATTACATATAAACATATTTGCTTTAAACATAAAATGGTCAAAAACGCTTTCTGAGCCTCCATTCTTCCCCCCGTAAGGCAACACCAGCCTGTGAACACCCTCCTGCATTCAAACTCTTCCTGCCTGCTCATTTTCTCACCACTGAGGACTTCCCTTTCCAGCTCCCTCCTGCATCACATCCACAGATGCCCCTGTTTGGAAATGCCACCTGCAGTTCCCCAGAGCTGCTCTTCTGTCCTTAAACCAAGCACAATAGCCAGGCTCTTTAATACCCATCGGAAAGGACCAACACCCTGGCTTCCCAACTTCCCTACTTCCCATCATTCTGGTTATGAGGCAGCTTGGATCCTTCTGTAAGCACCTTCAAGGGCCGGGAAGCGTAAAAGGGTACAGCAGAGACACTCCAAGAATCCCACCTTTACTCCAAAACAGGCTTTAAGATGCACTTTTAACCAAGTTTCCCTCTATTTCCTCAATCTCCCTTGCACCTACACGGCCCTCCCGTCCTTAAGAGGGCCCTGGGTTGTGTAATTCTCATCAAACACAACAACACATTTCCCTAACAAGTGGCGACTGCAAAGCACAAAGACTTTACACCAAAGCATCTGCCACTCTATTCCCAAACATGTCTCGATGCCAGGAGGTATTAAAACACAAAATCAAGGCTGGGGAGAAGCCAGGGGAAGGCAGTGTCAGCAGACAAGACATTTCAGATTTTACTCCACATAGGGGGTCAAATCTTTACATCCAGAAGGAAAGTGCTTAAGCCAAACTTCTCTGGTTGAAGTTCACTGAACTGTTTTTCAAATGAAATGTAAAGCCTTAAATATAGCACCATAAACCTGCCCCAGAAACTGAGGCCAAGGCCAACTCGGGGCTTTACACCCCGTAATTGCAAAGCCACCTCTTCCCTGCACACACTCCGAGGGAAAAAATAATAATAATAAAAAGGTATCACACGAACAAGGGAGTCCCTGGGGCCTTGACAGCACTCTCAGGGCAGGACAAGTTCTCCAAAGTTCCCAAGTGCCATTAGAACATCAGGGATGTGGCTGGAGGAGCACTGATTTAGACTGGCAGCTTTTCCTCGAAAAAATGGCCATCAAAACCCAGCCCTGAGGTGTCTGTCCTGCTCCCACAAAGCCTGCCCACAGAAGAGCTGGGATAGTCAGACTTATGTCAGTTCACTTGAGGACAAGCCAGGGAAAACCCAAAAATTAGAGGATCTTTCCTGTTTTGGTGTGAGTTTGTAGAGCTCCTCCTTAACGAATCCTTTCAAGGCAGAAGCTGAGAAATCCCCACCACAACTGATACTTTTACACAGATACCAAGTGTAAACGAGTGGAAATCGTTTTATTACACTGTATAAGTTTTTATAGCTGTGAGGGTGAAGGGTCTGACACTAAAAATGCCAGAGATAGGCACAGTTTAACCACAACAGCGTGACCTCACCCTAAAGTTTCTAAACACAGGCTCAGGTTCCCAAGAGTCATGGCTTGGGAAGTTGCATCTCTCCCAGCCCCGAGTTTCGGCTCTCAACTCCTAAACAAGCTGCACCAGGACTCAGAAATGAGGTAGAGAAGTGCTGAAGAAGGACATGACATGGCCTAAGGATCTCTCTTGGGGGGTCAGTTGAGTGAATCCCACCTCGGGGTCAAATCAGTGCCTGGTTCACACCAGACAGGCTCACCAGACCTTTCTGGACTCCCAAAGGGCCCTGACACCAGCACCCACATGGACTCACTGGGCAACTCTCTGCTGCCTCTCTCGCTGCTGCTGCTGGTCCTTCACTCGCTCCCGCTCGATGGCCATGAAGAGGCGCCGGCACCGCAGGAACTCGCTCTGCCGCTGCGGAGAGGAAGAGAAGGACACCTGGGAAGGATGCCTGGGATCAATATTGAGCTGTATCAGTGCTCAGCTTGACTTCTGGAGGATGGAATCTCACTCCTTCCCCAAGAGACCCTCAAATGGACATCTCTGAGTGCACGACCCAGGACTGGGAGGGTGGAGAGAAGGACCAAGTCATCTTGGAGCACTGGAGAGCTTTGTGCCAGCATCCCTCCACTGAAGCTTCCTAGGCATGGAAGCTCCTCCACCTGACAAATTCCTAAACTCTCACTTTCCTGAGGGTAAAAGAGCCAGTTCCTACTTCAAACCACTTCAGTTTGGATCCATCTGGGGACTGGTGCTCCCCTATGGCTCACTGGAATCCTGTGTCTCCCCACAAAAATGAACGTGCAACACCGAGCTGGATCTGCTACACACAGGAGAACCACAGAGGTGGCAAAACCACTGCTAGGGAAAATCCAGGAGCCCTGCAGGGAACAACTCCCATAGGCATACTGACGGTTTAGTGTCTGGGCTTTGGCTGATCCCACTGAAGCAGCAAGGGCAGGGAGACCTCCTAGCTAAAGCTCTCACCAAAAGCCCTCCCACAGCGGAGGTACAGAGCTAGTTTAAACTCCATGACTCGCAACAGCTTAAGGCATGAATTTTTCTTCATCAGTGCCAAGAGCTTTTGGGCCAAGCTTGTCCATCTCACACAGTGGAGAGCCCAGCACAGCTGAAGATAAAGGAGGAGGAGGAGGGATCACTAGGCTGCCAGTAGAGAAAACTGGATGGAAAAAACCCAGGCAGAGGAGAGTGCTGCAAAACCAGTTATCTGGGGTGGATCAGAGCCAAGGAGATAAAAGCAAGGGGAGAGGGAATGGTGGGGGGAAGGAGCAGCCTGAGGAGCCCCAGCTGTTGTCACACCATGGAGAAACCACAGCCAGATTTGGGATCAGCTGGTTGGAAAATACTTGTAAGGAACAAAAAACTGTTCAGAGTTTTATGCTGTAAGCTGCAAGGAAGGTGACAAAAGGAGAAGGAAATGTTCTTCTTCACGGCAGGAGGAAGCAGGAAAATAAAAGTCACTCACTTTAGGCATCCAAGACAAACATCATCCTTCTGCAATGCCTGGATTAGCACAAGCCAGTGTCCTGGACACAGGTTGTAAGCTCTCTTCATGAAATCATCCACTCAGCATCAGGCTGGGCTTGAGACTATCCCAAAATCAGAGAAACCTTTACATTCCAGCCTTGTGCCCAAACAAGATAAAATTAGGCTTGTTTGAGGTGGTTTTTTTTTTGGTTTTTTGTGGGGGTTTTTTTGTGGGGGTTTTTTTGTTTGTTTGTTTGTTTTGGTGTTTTTGTTTTTGTTTTGTTTTTAAGAATTTTTGGCAGCTTCTTGCTCTCCCTGCAACTACAGCAAGCAACCCTTGGTTTTAGCCACAGAATTAATGGAGTCTATTTCCCCTCCAACCCTTGGGTGTGATTCAAATCCCAGATTTTACAGGAGGAGTATGGAAGAGTTCCACTTAGTCACGAGAGACCTTCAAAAATAATCTGGTAGCTTTGCCCAAGACCTGAGACACCATGAGGCTGAGCTGACAAACTAAACCCAGCAGGGGTTTCATATGTCAAGGCTGCTCTGAGGCTTCTTATCTGAGCCATCGGCATTCCTGACAGTCCCATCCCTTTCAGACAAAACCAGGAGGGCTTGGCTCCCCTGGACAGACCTGCTTCCTGGTTTCCTCCTCATCAACACCAGCCCAGCGCAGGAGGGAAGGGTGGTAATCAGTGTGTGGCCTCCGGGGAGGCTCAGGCAGGCTCGAGTCCTCCACCAACCCATCACAGACCTGGAAGACAACACAAGGGAGCAGCATCAGCATCACCACGGTCAATTTCTCACCTTCCCTCAGCAAAATGCTCTTCACTGGAGGCCAAGTCCTCTGTGTGATCCTTACAGCCCTCAATGGAGTGACCCACCTCTGACATGGGCTTTTCTTCAGGTACAGTTTGGCTACAGGATGTGCCACATCTCCACACAGGAGCCTGAGCATGAAAGCTTTGCCAAAACACCTCTAAAGGTATCCCCTACAAGAGGTTTAGTTTAAATACGGATTCACACCTCCCTTTCCCAAACTTCCATTATGAACTTTGTGAAGTGTGAAAACAATAATACAAATAACAAAGCATCAGGGGAATTCCACAGCCAACATCTCCCAAAACCTCAGTGTAAACCCCACTATCCTCCACTATCTCCCCCCACTCACTATCTGCCCAGCCAGTACTTCTGCTCCAAGCTGGACTAATTGCCAGCCAAGGTTGGGCACAGGCTGCCACAACCATAAAGCCTTTGCCAACCGCCCCAGGTAATCAGAGCAAACCGTTTCCACCCCCCAGATGCTCAACAAAAGCTGCCTGGAAACAAGAGGACCGATAAGAACATCAGCTCCTCTTCAGCAGACCCCTCCAAGGGCGGTGTCACCGGGAGGCACCGGGATTGACACAGCCACCTCCTTCATCTGATACAAAGCTTTCCCCCTCCACACCTCCTTTTTCGAGGAGGTTTCTGGCCAGTTTGATCTCTTCCACCCTGCACTGCCCCCCGAGCAGGGCAGCAGGCCCAGGTCCTGCCGGCGCAGGCTGAGCGCAGCTCCAAGTACCCTGAGACTGCACGGCCTCCCGGCTTCAGATTTCGGCTGGGTGGCTGCCAACCGGCATCACGAGGCAGGCAGGAATCGAACCCCTTTGAGGCCACAGCTGCACCGTGAAAGCAAGAAACAGCCGTGCCGATTTCACTGAGCTCCGACGCCGCTCTGAGCCCACTTGCACGACAGCAGGCTTAGGAGTTAAGCAGGCCTGAGGGAGCAACTGCTCTACTCCAAAATAAACCCAACGATATGAACCTCCTAAGACCAACCCTGCACGGGTCTTACTTTTTCGAATTCAATTTTGATGTAGAAGTCATCGTCCTGCCCGGTCCAACTCGGGGCTGTACCTCGCTCCTGCAGCTCAGCGGGCAGATCGTGGTGTCCCTCCAGCAGCAGTTCCTCGCCCTCGCCCTCTGTGGGCACTGCGGCTGCCGGGCAAGGCTGTGGTTTCTGGAGAAGGGAGGAGATGGGTGTAAACATGGAATTCAAATCTGGCTGCTCTGGGGCCAAGGGCAAATCCAAACCCTCAGAGCAGCTTTAACACAAGGACACGTGTGCTATCAGTCGGATGAGATCTGGCAGCTCCACGTGCTCAGCGGCACCAGGGGCACCAGGGTTGGGAAACAGGAATGTAGCAGGGTGATGTAGGACTACGCTCTTCCCAAGTGCAGCACTGGGATAGACGTGTGGGGGGTGATTGGAAGGCAAAGGCCTCTCCAGGCGCTGTTTCGCAATGCCAAGGAGCTGGGATTTCTGGAGTGACACCCAAGTATGGAGCATAATCCTTCAGATGGGAAGTGGGCAGGCTCCCCAGTGGCAATCCACAATATTTTGAGAGGCAGCAGATTGTTTCCTACAAACTAAGGAATCAAAATGCCAGAAGCAAGCTTGGAGCCAGGATAAATTTTTTTCCCTTCGTTTTTTTTCTTCCTTCAGCATGGTGGGAAGGGAAGGACTGGTGACAGAAGGAGAGGATGGATCAGCAGGAGAGCAGGTCATGCCAAGAATCCCTTGAGATGGCTCTGCTGCTTTACAGGAACGACAGAGGATAGCCTGGAGTCAGTCTGAATGTGGAATTATTTGATAGGCACAGGAATTACCCTATCAACCCCATCATGACAGCAATGTGACATAGAAGAGCTGCTTTGGTGTGGACAAGGGAACAGAAGGGAAGGGTTATTGCTTTGGAAGATGCCTCTGGAGCCCTCAAGGTAGGAAGACATGAAACTGCAGGGGAAAAAACACCAACTTTGTGGAATGAGACATTGGGGAAAAGAATTTGGGTGCTGCCATGCTGGGGAGATACAATAGTCCACCAAACCCCGAAGACAAAGGCTGGGTGAACAGGATGACCTGGAACACCAGACAGGTAATTTCCGGGTGATTACCAGGTCGGTATCTGCTTGGGAAAGCAAGGAATTAACTCTTTGGATGCTTTTGACCTGAAAAGAAATTTCTTGGGGAGAGAAAGAGCAATGATTTTAGGAACGTGGATTATTGATCACAGGGAATGTAAGATTTTAGAGGGAAGATGAAAAAAATGAGAATAAAAATGCAGAAAAAAAAGAGCTGAAGGAGAAAAGACATTTCAGCCAAAGGCTTGCTCTGAGCTAGAAGCAGGGAGAAAAATGCTGCTACTATTATTGGGAAGAAACAGGTTATTCCTAGAAGCTGAGGTTTTTAAGGAGGCAGGACCTGCCCTGGGCCACTGCCAGGAGTGGCAGCCAAAGTGGGAACAGCTCCTTGAAATCTGTGGAGGTTCGGATTATCAGAAAAGGGAACAAGGAGTGTCTCTCTTTACTTAGAGGAGGGGAAAAGGAAACACTAAATAGAAGGTTTTAGCCTGAAGAGTTTAACTGTGACTTTTGGAAAAACAAGAGGAAATCACCTTGCAAACTGCCTGTAAGCCCCAAGAAAACAAGATAAGAAGCAACCATCATAAATTTGTCAAGAGCAAGTCAGGTCAGGCTGGGCTAAATTTCTCCTATAATAGAAGAAGGAGGCCTCAGGCAAAGAGCAACAGAAGACTCTGGGGTTCAGCTGAGCTCTTGATGTGGCCTAATTCAACACTGGGGTAAAGCCAAACCTGTTAGATGGAAGTCTGACATGGGAGGTGCAGAACTGATTAAAAAACACAGCCCAGATTTGGTCTCAGGAGTTCACTGCACAGAAATAGGGTAAGAGCTAGATGGGCTCTGCTCCATGATTTCATTATCAGCCTGGATGAGGGAAGAAAGAAGCCTCTTGATTAAACTACTGACCCCACCTGCAGTTGCAGAAGTATTGGGTGGAAAACCCTTGGGTTCAAACCAAAGAAATGAGCTTGAATACACAGCACAAGGAAATCCAGGGAGGACAAAAGCAGAGACCAAGGGTGTTGAGTCCCTGGTTATGTACATGGCAGCCTTTTGCACCTGAAGAGAAGGGTGCAAACACGCTGCTGTCTAGGTGGGAACATGCCAAACCTTCATGTAGGGAAACAGATCCAGATAATTTTAGAGCTTTTTTCTCCTCAGCTACCTTGGAGTAATAAAACAGAGCAGTGCAATAAATCAGTATATTCCTCCTGGAATAAATCACCCAGGGAAGCTGTTAAACTTCCTTATGTAGATTAACTGTAGCTGCAGTGAGGCTGGGATGGGAGGATGGTCCCAAATCCCTCCCAGTGTTTCTCACTGCTGTGGATGACTTGCTCAGGACTCCCACAGATCTCCTGTAACCCTCTGGCTCCCCTGGGCAGTGGCTCTGTTATTTATGCAAAGCTTTAGTGCTGCTAATAGTGAAGTCATGAATCACCCCAATTCCCTGAATGCACCGAGGGCTCCAACAGGAGGGATGTTTGGTGTGGGAAACAGGTAACATGGTTTTTGAGCCCATAATTACCATGTTTCTCCAAGTCCTGTTTGCAGAGCTGACTTCATCAGACATCCAAGAGCACACAGAAATCCAAGAGTACACAGAGGAGGAAGAGCCAGACCAGTCTTTACATAAAAGGTATTTTCTAGATAATCAGCCAAGATCTACTTCACCTTTGGTGAACCTGAGAAAGAGATGGGAATGAAGAATTGCAGGATGGGCAGGAAACTGGCTACAGAGGCAATAAGAGAAAACACCAGGCTGGGCTGCTGCTGGTGTTCGCCAAAGTACGTCAGTTTGAGAAAGGTCTTGGCATAGAGAGCAGGATAATAGCTGCAACACAAAGTTGTTCTTGAGAACTGGAGGAGTAAAAGCAGGATGAAATCCAGAACAACAAAATGTGGGACTGACCTCCTGTGCACTGCTTCAAAGAAAGCAGCTGCACGCCAACGATTCTCTAACAGAAGACAGCCCCGGGTGAGGGAAACACTCCAGATCTTTGCCACCCACACAAAACAAGGGATTGATGCAAGGCAAAGAGTTGTTGAGGTTTGTTAAAGAAATAAAGGCACCTGAGGGAAGAGCTGGTCGTCACATGCCTCCCAAATACCCAGATTACAATCTCAGATCACAAGCCTTTAAAAGCCTTTTTTGAATTCTTGTCTCCGTGTTTATCTCAGAGAGGTTTTCACCCACTTTATCCTGCTGCCTTCTCGGAAAGGCAGCAAGGGCAGAGAAACAGAGCCCTCAGGCCACCAAAATTCATGGGCTACCCATCCGGTGGGTCAGGAAAGCACAGTTTATTCCATTCCTGCTGGTGAAACTCCCTGAATTATGTTTTGGACTTCCTAATCAGAGCCAAACAGTTTGCAAGGCGATTTCTGTCCCCTCAGCCCAGGCAGCCCTCGCTCACCTCCCGCCTCCAGCCGCCGCCGGGGAGCTCGGGGGGCTCGGCCCCAGGGGACACGGTCCTGCGGGACGCCAGCCTGCGCCGCACCTGCCTCACAGCCTTGCTGAGCTGCGGCCACAGGGGAGGGAAACACAGCACAGCACAAGGTCAGCAGCACACACAGATCTCCCAGTCACTCTGCTCCAGCTGAGGGGCTCGGTCAAAGTGGCATGACCCAACAACACAATCACCCAGAGGTCTTTCAGAGCTGCCCCAAGGTGCTGAACTCAGCACTCACAAAACATGCTGCTGAAATGCCAGATCCCCAATTTTTCTGCTTGGTGTCCAGCCAGAAGTGATTTTCCACCTATCAACTGGAATCCACCCAACAGTGCTTCAACTGGAATAACTCCAACTCCTAGGTGAGCACACAGGCTTTATAAAACACCAAATGTAGCAGAAGCATCTCTATTTAAAAAAAGCTTAGAACAGTCCTCAAGGTAGGCTTTCCCAGATTTTGGTCTGCAGGAGACATGCTGCAATGAGCTGGCACCACCTAGTGCCACCTCTACGTCAGGACACAGCTGTGCCTCTGAGCGGGCGGACGAGTTCAGCTCCAGCATCCGAGGAGGAGGCACCTGTGACCCGGCTGGATGCTCTGAGGAGCAACATTCAGGGTGAAAATGGGAGCTAATATTTCATTCAATACTAAAACTCAAATACTAGGGACGTGCTGGAAAAGAAAAAAGAAATATTGCCTGTTCTCAAAATTAACCCAGTGCTGAAGCAGGGCTGGGAAGGCAGGAGGGGCACGGCTCACCTCGGCAGCTTGCTGCTGGAATGGCTCTCCGTGTGTCCCCTCCCACGGGGCCGGGCTGGAGCCAGCACCAGGGCCACAGATGATGGGAGGGCGGTGGCTCCGGAAGGGGCACGCATTCCTCCAGGAGGTCCAGTACTGCACGGCAGCACAGCTCTCCCGCTCCACCTGCCGGGAAAAAGCCACATGGGATCTCCAGCCATCACCTGCAAGGATGTCAACCTTGGGTGACATTTCATCGCCCAGAGGTGGCGTTTCTTGGGATGGAGGTTTTGGCTCTCCATGCTGAGAAAGCACAAAGAACCATCAGGCTCTTGGAGGCCGGGGGCATTTGCGGGCTTCCCGCTTGGAGCTGGCGGAGTTACATGAGGACATCCCCACTCAGCCATGGAAACAGCCCAAACACCCCAGGGGCAGCCAAAGCCGGTGACATTTCAGTGCATTCCCTTCTGTGCCACAGTCAGATTCTGGCAAGTCTTCTCAGCATTTGCTTGAGAGTAGAAAGAATTAAACATATTCATGGGATAATCCAAAACAAGCCCATAGGGGAAAGGGGAATTTGGAGACAGCAAGAAAGTGTTGCTTGAAAACTATTTGGCTGCTTTGGAAAATGGATTGGAAAAGACACAGCAGAAAAGCTGTTTTGCTACAAACACAGCCAGGAGATGTTCACATCATTCTCAGCTCTGGCCTGGATGCTTTTTAACTTCAGACAATTCCACACAGGGCTCTGGGATTCTGTTCTGCTGCTGCCCAAGGGAGCCAGTGAACTTTCTGTGGGAAGACTTCAAGCACCTTCAGCACCAGCAGAGGTGTCACGCTGACCTAGCCTGCCAGGACACCATTTGCCATCCAGGGTCTGGCACCTCAGATTTTTTCATCAACACCTTGACTTGTGCTCCAGTGTTAGGATTTTTCCCAGTTTATGTTGGGTTTTGGAGGAGTTTCTCCTGATGGAGTTCCGCTTACCGCTTCGTGGGACTTCTGCAGCTCCTGCCGCCGGCGCATCCTGACCTGCCGGTTCACCCGCTGCCTCACCTCGCCCTGGAACCTCCTCAGCTTGGCTGCCTTCTGCCGCTGCTGCTCCTTCAGCTCCTCCTCCACCTCGAATACTGAAGCCTGCAAGAGGTAGAAGTAGATTCCACATGGTTTTTGCTACATCAGAGCACCTCATATCCCTGTATCCCCTTTTCCCCCACTTGCAGCGACCAGGTAGACAAGCAGCACCCAGAGCAAATTTCATGTTTTGTTTCATAATCTGTGGAACAACACCTTGGACAATGTCTACTGGATTATTATAGGCTGGATTGAGTCTGACCAGACAGATGCAGAGCGTGCACACCTCTGCCTTTGCCTCTCTGCAACACACCTGGAAGGAAAGGAGTCTCATGGAGCAGCTCCCAACTCTTGCTCCCGTGAAAGGATGCTCAAATATCCAAAGCCTGGATCCAAAAGGAACAGGCCAGCTCCCCATCCTGTTAATACTCTGCAAGGCTGGAAGCACATTAGGGAAGCAGTTCACAGAGCACAGCTCTGCTCCAGAATATTTTTACCATCTGAAAGATTAACAGCAATGACCTGAAAACCCCCCCAAACCCCATTTTTTTCTCCTTGCAATCCTGCCAAGCAACTCTGCAACACCACCATGGCTTAAAGACCAATGGCATTGCTCTCCTGGCTGCCACCACAGCAAGAGAAACCAGAGAGTGAAGGGATGGAGGAAAGGAGTGAGACTAAAGATAAACTTGGAACACTCCCAGCAGCACATCAGGGTCAGCACACCAACAAAGCTCCAAGATGAGGAGAAATCTGCACTGTTATGGAAGAAATCAAGCCAGAGCTCCAGGGAAAAGCCCAGCACCAGTTCACCCACTGCCCACCTCATCAGCAACTCTGATGCAGGAGGCATTAATACAAGTAAAAGTATTAAATAAGCTCAGATAACCCTGGGCAGCTTCATCCACCCCTGGAAGCCCCACCTGGGGGGCCCCAGGAGCATCCTGGCACCCCAAAGCTCTCAGGAACAGTTCAGCTTCCGCAGAAGTTTCACAGCGCCAAGATGGAAGTTCTGTAGAATATGGAGATGATTCATTTCCATATATTATCTCAACCTTTCAGGATTTAAATTACAATATAAAAATAAATCATCTCAAAAGGGCAGGAGCTTCTGTAACGTTCAGACATTAATTACAGGGGACTGAACTCATCATCCGATATTTAATGCACTTTTAGTCCTCTTAGAATAACCCTCAAAGCAGAAATCCCTGAGATAAGCATCCATAAAGATTTCCTTAAGTGTTTCTAATGGGGTACAGCTGAGATTGGCTCCAGACCCTGAAATATTCAATATGTATTTTTTTTTTAAATCAGCAACACAGAATAAGATCTCAGTTCACCAACATCCTTCAGGCATGAGTGGGAAGGCGAAGAGCAGCACTGGCTGGGTTCCCCACCTGACTGATGTTTAAAATTGATGCGTTTCTCCTCCAAAACCACAGTTTATTGAAGGGGAATGGACTCGGAGAGATGCTGTGGGCTCGTGCAAAGGGGAGGCCAGGCTACACGGATAGGCACCATGGCAGCTTCTGACCCCACTAAAAATCATTAAAATAAATTACTATTTTCAAGAGCCACATCCCCGGCCACCCTCAGGCTGTGAAAAAGCTCATTTTTAGCTCTGTGAGTTTTACTGGCATATCTGCAGGGTTGGAGCCGCCCTGGCAGACGGTGCCTTGGTGCACTCACGAAGGCCGGGCTCTGCTCGGGCTGCCCCGGGGCACTCTCCACCCACACGCCCACGGGGGCCGCGCTCTGGTTCCTCTCGGCCAGCACCCGCCAGCTCCGCCGCGGGGGTCTCGCCTGGGGTCCCCCCGGGGCCTCCCCAGCCCCCCGGCGCTGCTCCTTCGAGGGGGGCACCATCCCGGCACCTGAGGAAGGGAAGGGGCAAGCAGAGATGAGGGTGGGCTCCCCGGGCACTCCAACCTGCCCCAGCCCCGTCCCCTCAGCCACGGGGCACCCCCAGTGCCCCCCACAGCCCTCCAGCCCCGGGGCACCCCACCTAAAGCTCCCTCCACGCAGACCCTCTGCTCTTCAGGGGGGAGTGCCCCCTCCACCCCCTCACTGCATCCCCCCCTCTCCCCACTGCCCCCACAGTTATCCAGCCCCACCTTCAGCCCCCCTCACACAGACCCTCCGCCCCTCATGGGTGAGTGCCTCCCACACCCCATGTGCACCCCCTCACTGAGCCCCCTGTCACCGCACCCCTCTCCCCCTGCCTCGCTCCAAGTTATCCAACCCCACCTTCAGCTCCGGCCTCCCCAAGCCCCCAGTCCTCCGCGGCCGAGTCCTCCCTTTACCCCCACCCCACTGCCTCCCCCATCCCAACCGGCAACCCCTGTACCCCCGCACCCTCATCTTCCCACCCCTCCCTGACCCCTCCACGGCCTCGGGTGCCCTCTCCTTATCCCCTCCCAACCTCCTCCGTAGGACTCTGCACTTCAAGCCCCCATAACGCCCCCAGGACCCCCCAACCCCTCCCCGGCCGCACCAACCGCCGCTTCCGCCTCCACCGGCGCTTTGAATCGCGGCGCCACTTCCGCCCCCCCGGCCCCGCCCCGCCGTGTTCCCGGGGCCGCCGGTTCGAGTCCCGCCCCCGCTGGAAAAAGGGAACGGGGAGGCGGCCTGGTTGGGGATCGCTCCCCAGAGCACCCCCGAAACAGCCCCCCGAGCATCCCGGGAGCACCCCGGGCAGAGCATCACCCGGAAAGCCGCCCCCCAAATATCCGTATGGTTACCCACCACCCCTGGACCACCCTTCCAGTACCCCCTTACGACATCTCCACACAGCATTCCCCCAGAGCACCCCCGAAGCATCTCCCTATATACATATATATATATATATCCCGAAGTATCTCCCTCACGGGTCGGCTCCCCTTAATGTCCCCCCAAAAGTCCCCCAAAGCACCTTCCTGTAGCATCCCCCAAATCCCCCCCTGTAGCACCTCCCTCTGATGTCCTTCCCAAAAGTCCCCCCCAAACCCTCCCTGTACCATCCCACCATAAGGTGTCCCCCTCCGAAACTCCCCCCCCAGAGCATCTCCCTCTCTGGGACACGTCTCGACCCCTTTTTGGGGACTAGGGAGCCTCCAGGCGGGGGCCAGTGGTGGCTCATGGGGGTTATGAGCTTGGTAGTTCTCAAAGAGGGGGTGGGAAGTGGCTCCGGGCATCCTGCCCCACATCCCGCTGCCCTATTCAGCGATGCCCGGGAAACCAGTGCTAATTGGCATCGGAGTTGGAATGAAGCCTGGATGTGACCGCAGCTTCGTTTTAGAGCCTGGGAAGAGAAGAAGAAACGGGGGGGGGAGCTCCTTTGGGGTGGGAGTCCAGCTTCGAAAAAGGCCCCCCTAAAGGAAAATCCCAACTTAATGGATGTCCAGAGCCCTAAATCTCATTGGATTGTCCGCAGAGGGGACAGCAAACCTTATTTGGGCTCGGTGGGGTGATGCCCCTAACCTCGAGTGTGCCCCCGGAACAGGGAAAACATGGAACTGAGGGTCCGTAACAGGGGGAAAATTGCAAATCTTAGTGTTTTTTCCTCAAATAAATGTCAGCTTGAGGCCGCTGGGGAGGCGAAAGCCACCAGGACACAGGGCTCTATTGAGAAAGGCAAGAACAAAAAAAAAAAAGAAGGGAAAAAAATAAATTAGCCGGGCGAAGCGCCAAGCCGGGAGCTCCGAGGGACGTGCCCGGAGTGGGGAAGCGGAGCGATTCGGGGGGCGAGCCTGCCCGAAATGTGGGGAGCGCCGGCCACCCCGCGGGGCCACCCCGCTCCCCCCTGCTTGCTGCCGGTGACCTGGCTTCTGGCTCTGCACGCAGGTAGGGAGATGTCCCATTTTTCTACGGTTTTCCCATTTTTCCATGGGGTCTGGGGGCTATCCAGATGGAGGTTGAGGGCCGGGGGGGTGATGATACCAATAGCCGGTGGAGGGGTGGAGGGCTGCTGAGGTGATTTGCTGTGCTGTGGAACATACCCTGTGCTTGGGAGGCAGGAAAAAGGGGGTCAAATTGGGAATAAAACTGGGGAAAACACTTTCTGGAGCCAAGCGGGTCCTGATAGGGGGGTGGGTTTGGCACCACCCCCATCCCAAGCTTCTCCCCAACTTTTTTGTCTTCTCCCAAACCCCTTTTTTCCTCATTTTTCAGCATCTCCAAATCTATTTTCTTGCCCATCCTTCTGCTTTCCTAAAAACCTCATTTTTTCACCCCATTTCTAGGTTTGCCACATCCTGTTGCAACTATGGTTTCCTCCATTATTTATTCCCTAAATCCTCACATCTTGGGGTTCAATGAACCCCAAACCACCCCATTCCACATCTGGTAACAAAGAATATCACCTGCAACAATTTTCCCTTATTTTACCAAAGTTTGGACCCAAAAGCAGCCCTGGGGAGGCCCCATTTCCCTCCAGATGAGGACGATGGATGCAAAGCAAAACAAGCTGGGTTCATTGCTGGCTTTTACTTAGACTTAAAAAAAGCCCCAGGGCTGCAGCCAGGGCACCCCAAAAATGCTGTGATGCCTTTTCCAAACAAATAAGAATTTACTGCATGAAATAGCCGGCAAATGAGGATTTTTGGTGGGTTTTTTTCAACAACAGCCATCAACACAGTCTGGGAGATCTGCATCCCTAAGCCAAAGGATACTGTAGGAAATGGGAATGTTTCCTGATTCATTAATTAATTCCCAAATTTATTATCCAGAGTGGAGAAAAAACTAGGAATTGGGTTAAAAAAGGGAAGAAACAGCTAAAGAGCAGTGATTTGGAGGTGCAGAGGGGGCAAGGATGCATTAAAAGCCACATCCCCATCCCGTGTCTGGGTTTTCCCTATGGGGGATGCCCTAAATTTGGCGAGTCAGGGCATGTTTGCGGGGCGAGTGCGGCGCTCCCGAGGAGGACAGAGGGACGGGCGCTGCATACCAATAGGTCCCATGACTTTTCGGGCTTGTTTAAGGCCTTTCTTGCTCCTGCTTCGCCCTCCCCAGCTGGTTTTCCCACTCTCCCCTCCTCCTCAATATGGGGTTTGTTTGCCGTCGGATGATGGCATCTGGATGGGGGGTTCATAGCCAGGACCCCTGGGATGGCAAGAGGGGGATGGAGCTAAGGTATTTCATGGAGAGAGGTTGTTTTGGAGAGGCCCCTCCCTCAAAAGCCATGTTTTTCCCCTTTTCCCTGCCTTTTTTTTTGGCTAGAAACCAACCACGAGGAGCGATGCACGTGCACTGCCCTCCGTGATGCAGTTTTGCATCTGAGGGGGGCTTTGTCTGGGCAGTAGCATTCAGTGGGGGTGGCAGTGGGATGCAAAATCCTCCCCCCATCATTGCTGGGGGGATTAAGGCATCTTTGCAAAGCACAGCATTGATCTGGGCACTGGAGGCTCTCACCCCCCCATGCAGTTTTTGGGGGGTGATGATGCATCTTTGCCAAGGGTTGCATCGACTCACCTCCCAGCCCCCTGCATTTTATGGAGTGATGTGTGCGTATTTCCTAAGGATTGCATCAACCTGACTTCAGGAGCACTCCCCACTGCATTTTTGGGGTGATATAGAAGTTTTTGCAGAGGGTTGGTCACATTGACCTGACAGCAGGACCACTCCCACCCCCTGATAAAGTTTAAGGGGTGATAATGCATCTTTGCAGAGAGTTACATTGACCCACCTCCCATGCCCGAAGCAATGTTGGGGGTGGTTCTGTTATTTTGTCAGCACGTTGCACTGACCCGGGTTCAGGAGGGCTCCCACCCCTCTTGAGTTCCCGGGGCAACGTGTGCACCTTTGCAAAGGTCATGGAAACAGTTTGGGCATGTTGGGGGTGCTCTGCAAGGGGTTTCCCCAGTTTTCTCCATGCTCAGCCCCCCCCAAGGTGTGTCTCTCCACCCCAAGGTCTGCTGGCAGGAGTGAACATCACCAGCCCCACGCCGCTGGTCCGCGGCACGGCGGGCAAGGCGGCGCTGCTGTCGGTGCGCTACGCCAGCGCCAGCGCCGACAAGCCGGTGGTCAAGTGGCAGCTGAAGAGGGACAAACCTGTCACCGTCGTCCAGTCCATCGGCACCGAGATCATTGGCAACCTACGGCCCGACTACCGTGACCGCATCCGGGTGCTGGAGAATGGCTCGCTGCTCATCAGCCCCTTGCAGCTGGCTGATGAAGGCGCTTACGAGGTGGAGGTGTCCATCACCGATGACACCTTCACCGGCGAGAAGACCATCAACCTCACTGTGGACAGTAAGGGCAAGAAGGACATCCCATGGAGATTTGGTTTTCCTGGGATGTCTTCCCTGACCACTTTTCAGGGGGGATTTCTCCAAGTGGGAGGTGGTTTGGGGGGTTTCAACCACCTCACACAGCCAGGTTGCATCCCTTGTGGGGTTTTGATGTGGCCCTTCCTGTCTCCTGGGCCCAACTGTCCCCCGAGACATGGTGTCACCATGGCTCTTCTACTCATCCGCAGTTCCCATCTCAAAGCCACAAGTGCTGGTGGCCTCCTCAACGGTGCTGGAACTCAGCGAGTTCTTCACCCTCAACTGCTCACACGAGAATGGCACCAAACCCACCTACACCTGGCTGAAGGATGGGCGGCCGCTGAGCAACGACTCCCGCCTGCTCCTCTCCCCTGACCAGAAGATCCTCACCATCACCCGCGTCCTCATGGCTGATGACGACGTCTACAGTTGCCTGGTGGAGAACCCCATCAGCCACGGCCGCAGTGTCCCCGTGAAACTCACTGTCTACCGTAAGCCACCTGTTCCCCCCTCTTGCACCTCCAGGGTTATTCATCCCTTGCAGATGCTTCCAGCTAAAATTTTGGAGGGGTTGTCCCTCCTCATTCCTCTCCTCCAGGCCGGAGCTCTCTCTACATCATCCTGTCCACAGGAGGCATCTTCCTTCTCGTCACCCTGGTGACAGTTTGCGCCTGCTGGAAACCCTCCAAGAAGTATGGCTGGGGGTAATGTGGGAGCCAAAGGGGGTCATCCTGTCTTGTCCCATCCTGTTTTGTCCTGTCCCATCACATCATAATTCATCCCATCTTGCCTTGACTCATATGTCCTGTCCCACCCCATCCTATCTCTTCCCATCCCATCCTGACCCATCCCGTCTCTACCCATCTCATCCCATGCCTTTTCTGTCCTGTCCCACACCATCCCATTCCACACCATCCCACCTTGATCCATTTCTCCCATTGCATTCTATTCTATTCCATCTGATCATATCTCATTCCATCCCATCTTGTCCCATTCCATCCCACCCCATTCTACCTCCTTCCATTCCACCCCATCCCATCTCTCCCTCCCAACAGCAATGGGCCCTTCCCTGGCTGAGCCACAGGCAGCCCCCCCACTGCCCCCACCGCGATGCCGGTGCTGCCCCATCCCCTCTCCCTTCCCAGGGAGAAGCGACAAGCGGAAACACAAGCGACCTCTGATTACACCGAGCAGGATGAGGAGCGCTTGAAGCACGAGGGTGAGTGCCGGCCTTGGCATGGCTGTGGCGGGTTGGGGGACCACCA